ATTGTATTATCATCCGCAGTCAATATATTTACAAAATTTGAACTCGATAGCTTATCAGAAAGCAGTATAAAAATCTTCTGTTCATAGCCCCAAATCGAACTTCTGTTCATAAAGACAACCTTCTGTTCATAGCCCCAAATACCATGAGTGAACTAAATATGTGCTACTTCTTTGCAGAAATATTATGCTGTTTAAAGAAAAAAATTTTGCATATTTTTAATTATTTATATAACTACTTCGTGCATTTTGCAGCATTTATTTCATTTAAAAATTTTTTTTTTTTGCCTCTCCCATACTTAATGATATTATCACCATTCTGATGAATCTCAAAGGCTCTGAAAAACCAAACTTTGAGTAAGTTCTCATAAATTTAACTTGATAAATACTATAAAAATACTACTGTTCTTATATGAGTAGAATTTATTGCCCGATGGAAAGATTTTGCTAGATTGCTTTAGTAATCAGTAGAGTTTTATACTGATTTTAGGTTCTTTTTTCTTAATTTTCAGTTGTTGTAGCCCTACCATCAACCTGTCAAGAGGACTTTCGGCTTGCTGCATATTTAGAGTGCCCCCATGCTGCGCGGATACTATACATTTACAAACATTCATCCTTCTCCGGGGTTCAAGACAGACCCTTCGATACGGCAGTCAGCGACGCTAACCACAGCTGGGCTGCAATTTTCAGTTGTTCATAAGTCCACTAAAAAGCTCTGCTGCTTAAAATGTTAATTGCTTAAAAATATTTGCAGTCTAAAGCAAATTTGATATTTACATGTTTTTACCTTAATATTTCTTTACAAAGATAGAATGACATCTATCAATATAGATGGGTTTAATGTATTTGGATTACGGCAAAGCACGCAATTGTTTATCTGCCAAAGAGGAAGGAAACTTTCTAAGAGGATCAGACTTATATTCTCGTTCCACTTGTAAAAAAAGCCAAGAAAACTTTCATGCAACCAGCTCGTTGGCCAGGATTTGAACCTGTGTCGAGCTAGCTGTGCTTAGCGATTTTAGATGCTCTGCCAGTGGAGATCCGGAGTCTTATTTAAAATCTTGTTTCGAAGTCTTCTACCCTAATTTAGTGTGATAGTTGTCGTAGTACGAAGGTTAGGGTTATTTAAATATAACAAAGCGTACGAGAGCTATGGGTCTTCGTGGAGCCCTTTCAGTGGGAAACTGGGTTACACATGTAGATAACCACGAAAAACAAACATGCAGGAATCCCGTCTCTGAGAAACAGAACTGATTATTTTCCTTTAATCTGAAATCTAAAAGAAATAAGATAGAAAACAGCGCTTTTCAGGGAAGCTGTATTCAGTATATGTATGTATTTTCAGGAAGCTGTATTCAGCTGTATTCAGTATATATATCAGTATAATTTATTTAAAATAAGCTGTAAGCTTTAAGTACAGTTTTTTGTACAAGCAAATAGTAGTTTGCCTATGCTAACTGCCCCAGTGGATTGGCTGCCTCACAGTCGGTGGGAAAAAAGAAAGTAGTTTAGCTTTCACATGTAGACCAGCAGCTCACCTTGTATCATTCTCTATTAATTCAATTAATGAAGATTGGATCATCAGATAAATTTTGCTTCTTCCAGTGCCAGTTAGTTATCATACAGCTGTTCAATAACATTTGAACTATATCATTAATGTTACATATTACTAAAATGTACTTGTTCTTTAAAGTCCTTGATCTGTTCTAAACATAGTACTGCAGAAGATTCAGAAATGAAGTACAATTCAAAGCTACTTAACATTTCTATGCATATAAATAAGTAAAACTGTTTAAAATGCATATAGTTTAATGCTTCCTGTTTTATTTGGAATAATATTTCAAAAATAAAACTCGTGTTGGTTACGACCCAAGCTTACTTAACAGGATAAAGAGCCGTAGTTCGATAATGCTAGGATCATGCATTCAGTTTTCATCATTTTAATAAAATCCATTATGATACTTATGCTGGTAATTATAAACTGCATTTACGTATAAAGAAGTATGATTAATACACTAATATCACAGAATATACGCTTTTTATGCTCCGACAAGTTTTGTCAAGATACCAATTTTTTAGTTCATATACAAGTCGTAAATTCCCTAGCCAGATTCCATTTTTATATAAACAAGATGCACGAAGGACAAAATGGAACAGTTAATTATATTTTTTATTCTTTTAGATATAATTTTTAATGGTAAACAATATTCTGCTAAATTATAATATAAAAATTATTACTAATAATAATTTATATCCTAATATTTATATCTTAATTTAATAATATTTATATCCTAATTTATATCACTCAAAACAGAATTGGAAAACTCATTCAAATCATATTTAATCAAAACATTTTATGCAGCTTTGGGGAAAAGGAATTTTGGGGTTTCTTTGATTTTTAACGGTGAATTCAATCATTAAAACATTTTTACCATGTTTCCTCATTCATATAAAATCAGCAAAATAATTTATTAAATAATTCTTAGATGTAAGAGTATTCTTGTTATCTTTTGTTATATGACTAAAAATAAATACAAAAGCGGCTAGTATTCAATATTTATTTTTATTTAATTAATTACAAATACTTGGCTATTGGTACTAAGACATAGTCTTTCCATATTATCACTTTTCTATTAGGCCTTGAAATTATGTTAAGGATCTAATAGAATTCGGAAAATCTTATGATTGCATAAAACTGCGGGAGGTGCTAATAATGACAAATTTTAAATGAAAATAGAAATTTATTTAAATTGACTATAATCATTCTTATATTCTATGTCATTTCAGTGCTATAATTTCAGTTATTAGCTTAAATACTGCAATTTAGTCATATAATTTGTAAGTGGAAATACCACGATTTTAAATTTATGCATAAACGAGCAAATACATTTTGAAAGTTAAAATATATATATACTTTACAGTTCATTTAACTGAAACCGTAAGAATCAAAAGGGATTTTTGTGCATGTCTGCTTTATGCATTTCATGTATAAATTGCAGAAAGTCAGAAAATCCATCCAACACAGAGATATAATTCTTTCTAGTCTGTGGTAAGATTGTATCAAATTCATTTAAACGTCCGTTTAAATTCAAAATGTGACCTCTCAAATCAGAAGGAATACATTTTTGGTTTTAAATTCCACATTAGTAGCAACTGTATAATAGCTAAACTTACCAAAATATTTGTAGAAAACCACCAAAATTCTAGAAATTGCTGTAAAATCCCGAAAAACATTAGGAAGATTATTGCTTGCCAACTCTATGCTGAAATAATCAAGCGTTTATAAGGATGAGCTCGACCGTTAACGAACAACTTGTGGAAAAAATTCAAAGCTAAAATATAAATACATATGCCAACTTTTCCAAAAATTCCTAATAAATATTGTACTCTCATCGTAAATATATATGGATTTATAATGTGATGAAAACTGAGTTGGTAAAAGAGTGGATTAAAATTTAATTTCCCAAAATAAATTGGCCTACTAAAACTAAATAAAATAGATAAGTAAATAGTAAAAAAATTGTGTAACAAAATAAATAATGATATTTCTTAAAATACTGCCCAATAAAGCATGTCGAATAATTGAAAATTTACAAGCTTGGAAGCTAAAATTCTAAAAAGATTTCGGAAAATTCAGACGTCACATATTAAAAGAAACAAGTCTACAAGTACAAAGAAAGAAGAGAGACGAAACTAAACAAGTACTTCAATAGCCGGGAGGCAATTTTATGGCTTATCCATCACACTAAGGGAATCAATCAATATTTGCTTTCCCTTCCTGCAACTTAATGCAACTAGGGTGACACCCGAAATCAACCTCCGTATCAGGCGGAAGGGCTGGACACGTCCGCTAGACCTCTTAAAGAGATTAAAACTAGTACTCTTGCTACACCGGGGTGCCTCAAACCCTGCGCAGACTTTTTTAGAAAACTCTCTCAAATCCTCCGGGGCTGAACCGGGCCACCGGATGCTTACACACCACGGGTCTCGGAGACCACCCCGGAGGGAGGACCTCTACAGACCTATGTCAATTTGGCGATCTGACCGGCCGTGGATGCGCCCCTGCCAGTATTACACGGCTGCCCGTCACCGAAGGTCATTACCCGGAATATGCAGTCTGACTACGCTACCAGAACTTCCGGTTCTGGGACTTCTGCAATCCCCCTAGGTCCGTCCGTATAAATGACCTTCCCTCAGGTTCTGGAACTGCCAAGCTCAAAATGCTTTTCCCCCAGAGTACTCTGTCAGGATATAGGATCCAGCCAGTTGCACCCCAGGGGGTCACACTAAGGGAAAGTAAACATACTACCCTAGGCTGGGCCATCTTAGAGAAATTTCAGAAAACGAAAGTGATTTTTTTGGAGGGGTTTGTTGACTGGCAACACGGCCATTTTCAAAGCATTTCGTTCCAAGGGGCGGGCGGGTTAAGCAATGGTGAAATCATTTTTCAAGTGTCTATAAGATTAAATATTTTTAGAAATTATTTTAAGCTTGTACAATATCTGATATAAATCATATAAAAATTTTAATTATTCTATATATGTTTTAAACTTGGGCCAAAACAATCCACATTACTATAAAGAACACTTAATGGATACAATATGAACTACTGTTTTCTTTTTATTTTTTGGTTGTTGTTGCTGAAAAGCACTTTTTAACTTATACAACTGATTTTAAAATTATTTTCGAGAAGATAATATCAAAAACAAGCATGGATTCAAGGTTCAGACAGACTATTGTTGAAGAAGATTTTACTGAGCAGTCTCTAAGAAAGTTTAACCTTAAGCTGCACGATTAAAATTTTTAGTTATGCAGTTTAAGGTTAAACATTCTTTCTTATTTTAATTTATTAAGATTCACTTTTAATGTAATAAAAATATTAAACAAAAAATATTTTGTATCACATAAATACACATAATTTTTATTTCAAAAATATTTGGAAATATTCACTATAAAAAGCAGATATTTCATACTTAGTAAATTAGAATAAAAGTTTTCCATACCATCATCTTCAATTATTACATCAACATCAACAAAATCATCACCAAGGACTTTAGCCTTTCTTTTACGTCCAGTATGAAGAGCTCCATTTTCAGTGGTTGCTGCTTCTAATTAAAATGAAACATACATTGGAATTATCATACAATGTATACCATATTACATAGATATATATTTCTATATACACAAGTGTAAATAAAAAATCTACCTTTTAGCCCAAAGGAACATTAGCACAGAAGAGTTATTTATTCTCAAAACAGCATTTTGCATTGAATCGCTTTTGAAATTGTTGCCAACAAACATTATCGCCCTGTATTATATTTAAAGAAATTAAATAATGAAGAATTTGCATGAATGTATGTTTCTCGCATTGTGAAAATATCTGATGTCAATATTAAATTATACACATTTTTTACTGCATTTCATTCAAACTTATTTCTTCGAATTTCATTACAGATATATTTCTCATTCATTCAATTCAGTTCTCATTTCGCAGCAAGGCAAAAATGCATAAAAACTCAAAACATCTTTATTAAAAATTACGGAACACAGAAAAATATAAAAAACCACATACAGTTAAAAACAGAAAATGTAAAAATTCCATAAAAATTCTAATGTTAATTGTAAAAAAAATGTTTACAATTAACATTAGAATTTCTATGGGAAAACAAGCAATTTGGCCAACAGATGGGAAGTTCCGGTACACTATTTTGAAAATTAACCTTTGGTCCTGCTGTGCAAAAAGACACTGAAATTGGTGTATCAACTGACTTGATTAAATATTCTATTAACAGTTTCAAAGGATGGCTTTGTTAGATTTAGTATCACTATAATATTGTTGATAATTCTACAAATATTGCATGCAGATTATCTAAAGGCATTAAAACCTCAACCGGAATATAAGAACAACATAATTCAATCATTTTTCAAACAAAAATGCACAATTTGTTGGAATATAAGAATAAAACACAGCTCACCGAGCCAGGTAAGACAAGCAATATATATATATATATATAAACACTTATATGTTCGGTGCAGCCAATTGCAATGCAAAAGGGAGGTGCACAACTTCATGTTATAGCAGTCCCATATATAAAATTTCAGCATTCTACAGCTACTCGTTTTTGGCTTATGCAAGATACGTACATAGATATAGACTTCACGAAAAAATCTCTTCTCCACCCATTTTAAATCTATTTCATAGTCTGTTTTTTTTTTTTTTTAAAAAAAAGTCCTTTATTCTGTCTGTACATACCGATGATGTCTGGCAAAAAAATCATTCAAACGGATTTGAGAACTGTCCAAATGGATATCTTTGTTGAAATATGAAAACCAAATTTTTCACAATTACGATACTTCTTTTACTTGGTGCAAGGAAGTAAAGACAGCAGTACCAAGAACCATCAAATTTTGAATAACGTAGTTTTCCACACGAATATGAGCACCTGGAAACCCAAATTCTGAAAATTTGTTTTATTGTTTCTTCAATATTTTGTAAAATTTTAATGAATTTTTGATTTACAAACTCAACAATTTCAAAGTGAGCAATGGCAACACTATACGGGGAAAAAACAATTTTACCTCCAGCGCACAAGACTGTCTATCAGAAATTCTAAAGATTTGCTGTTTTTAAATATTTTTAGTCCAAATGCTCTCAAAACCTGAATGTGTGCATAAATGATGAAAAAAAAAAAAAAGTTAAATTGTATTTCAACATTCTGCATTAATGGTAGTTAAATAATACTACTAGATTCTAAAAGAATCTAATTAATCACACTAAATTTTTTACTGCATTTGCTTATTCTAATTTCTGTCATTGCATATGTAGACCTTATGTATAATCAATCATAAGCGAGTTTTTTCCTGTTCATTGAATTAAATAGTATTCATGCCACTGGTAATTAAGCACTGGCAAAAATGGTAAAACTTTGTCTAGGTTCATCTCAGTTTTGATTGAGATCATTAACAGGATTTGAAACTTGAAGATTTTAAAGTACTTTGCAAAATCACTGCAATTAAGAGTTAACAGAGTTTTGAATCCATGTTTTTCCTTTCAAGCATGAAAGTAACCTTCAATGATTATCACACCCACAGGCATTTTTTATGGCAGGTATGCAAGAACATTCATACTCCTAAATATTTTGTGAATCTAGCAAGTAATTTTAAAATGTTGGAATTCTTGCTAAACGACCTCCAATGTAATCTGATTATTTGTGTGTTTATGTAGTGTTATGTTGCCAAAAAAGAAAACTAAGATTTTCGAGCATTGAGCATGCCAATAAAGTTGCTGGAATAATCACAGATGAATTTAATAGCAACTCCAATAAGAATATCTTTGCCTTTAACCTTTATGGGAAAATTTTATCTACAAAGAGTATGTGTGATTTCCTGATAAGTACTGCTTTACAGAATTGTTAATTATACACAAACATTTTTGACACGCTTGTACAAATTAAGAGATTGCAACTGGATAATAGGAGGTTATAAAAGGGTTTTGAACAGTTGGTTATTAATGCAACCAACTGTTCAAAACCCTTTTAACAAGGCAAGGCACACCACGGACAACAGGTTCAAGGCACACCAAGGAACTCAAACAACAGCTCCATTTCCTCTTGAAAGAATTAAAGAATTGTGTGTGTTTGGTGTTATGGGAGTGGACTTTGTAAGACCACTTTATGTGAAAGGTTAAATGAAATATCATACATTGATGTTTTCTCATGTGTAGTAACTTACACCCCTTATTTAGAAATGGTTTCAAGCATAACAAGTGAGGAATATATTCTTGCTTTCAACGCTTCATAGCAAGATGCAAAGTATAGAAAACTGTATAAAGTGACAATACAAAGACATTTAAGAGAGTAGAATATGATCTCTGAAGATTATGGAATTCAGTTACAGATGATCAGATGATGGATTATTATAGTAGAAAGGGTATTCAGTTTAAATATTGGGTTTTAACAAAAGTTTCCCACCATCGCAAATATCGTCTGTGCAAACAGACATGGCATGTTTAATCATATTTTGTCAAAGGATTTTTCACTAAGGTGTTTGAAATGTAATTATCACGTTAACAGATTAGAACCATCACTTACTTCCAGCTCTGTTGCAAAAAGTCAGGTACTGAATGTCACCAAATCATGTATACAGCTTTAGGTGCTAATGTTCTATCATATGACACTGTGCAGGTTTGGTACTGAAAGTTCAAAAACAAGGATTATGACATTCAAGAAGCAGAGCCCTCTGGCCAGCCTACTGATGTTGATGAAGCCTGCCTGTGAGTAGTTGTGGAAGAAAATCAGTATGCAATCACTCGAGAGCTTGCTAAGGAGTTAGATGTTAGTATCATGCTCATTAGTTACACTACGCATCGCATAAAGTTGATGCAGAAGTTTAATTGCTGAATGCTGCATGAGCTGACTCAAGCAGATAAGGACAGACATGTTCGGGTTTGCACACTACTTTGCTTGAATATCAATGCAAGAATAAAATTCTGGGCCAGATCATCACTTGCAATGAAAAGTGGATTTATTTCAACAACACAGGCCAAAAAGGGGAATTGTCTGTGCCAGGTGAGTCTGTCGGCAGCATTGCAAAGTGCAATTTGACTAACAAAAAGATTAGGGATGCAGTGGGATTGCCGTAGTGTTATCCACAAAGAGTATCTGAAAAACGTTAAAACAATCGACAGTAAAGTGTCGAGGGTTTTAACTTTTCAAGATGTAAAGTATCGAGATGCTTGTCTATATTGATGCAGTTATCAAGGTAAAATGTGGAACTGAGTTCCAGTGCAAAAAGGAAATGTTCCATCAATATAATACAATATCACAAGTGTCTGCATTCACAGGATGGACTCTGTACAGACTCAAATGGGATCTTTTGCCACATCCACCATATAGCCCCGACATCGCTCCTTCAGACGTATAACTTTTTTCACACCTGCAGCTACATCTGCTGGTGCTATCTACCATTCTGCACAGGATGTCCGAAATGAGGTTGATGTGTTTTGAACTCGTGGCCACCAAGTTTCTGGGCTGAAGGCTTTGGAAAACTATCAAAACATTTGCAGAAAATCATATATTTAGGTGGTGATTACTACCCGCACTAAAGGCACTGCTTTCATGTTTTTTTTTCCCTAACTTTATTTAGAATGTTTTTTGGTGGGAAAACCTTCATTCATCCAAATATATAGTAAAAAGGTTGCTTGGTAAGGATGACTTTGGGAGAGATATGAGAAAGTTAGCTGCAGCAGAAATGCGATCCTTTAAAGTATGATCATGTTGCGTGCGTACGGGTTCTTTATGAAATGAATGCACAAGTCCAATGAAAAATGAACAAAAATTTATTATTATCACAACAAATATGCTTAAATTTCCTAAAATATTTGTGCAGTATTACAATATTTCACATTAGTTATCTTTTAACTACTCAAACGTTCAAGAGAACTTAATTTAAAACAGCTAAAGAAAGCTAATCCGCGAATTCGCTACAAGAGCAGTTTTCTAAACAAACGCTGAAAACAACAACAAACTAAGTAACTACAACGAACTGAGAGGTTTTCCTCCTTTTATAAGATTTTAAAATCGCACGCGAGAATTTTCTAGTACTTTCTCGAAATCAAAAAGAGATAGATTTATTTATTTATTAAATGTTACATGCACGCGCTCTTGTATTTTCAATTTTCCGGCTTAGCTTTCTTTTAATATTCGTCACGCGCTGCACTGCGCGGGAAATAAAACCATTTAATTTACAATTCAACTAACGTTAATTATTAAGTGCCAAATTCGTAACATTGCCCCCTTCCCAAGGACTGCACGTCCCGAGCAGTACAATCCCTGGACAGCTAACCTAACCTGTCGTAAAGAACGACTTTAGGTTCAGAGTTTGAAGACTTACGGATCCAAACTACAAGGTCATTCAGCCTGTTTAGGACCATGTACGGACCATCCCAAGGTGATTGTAATGTAGGCTTGACTCCTTTTCGTCAAATCAGGTTCCACAACCACACCTTGTCTCCTTCGTTGAATCTGTGTCCAGTAGCTCTCATGTCGTATCTCGTTTTCACTTTCTCCAAGTTGCCAAGTTGACTCGCTTTCGTGCAGAATGGTGCATC